CCGTCGCCAGCCGGTTCCCGCCGGTCCCAGGAACACGTCGCGCCCACTCAAGGCCCCTCCGCCGCGCCAGGCCCCGCCGCCGCAGCTCACGGGAATCCCCCGGCCTCCGCGGTCGCTAATATGGCGGCACTCAGCAGCAACCCGGCTCCCTCCCTCCGTCTGTCCCGCAGGGCGCGCGCGCACCCGCGACCGGCCCCGCCGCCGAGCGCATCCCCGCGCCTAGGCCACGCCCCCACACGCAGGCGCGCTGAATCTCGACAGGCCACGGCCCCTCGACCCTCCCACTAACGCCGTCAGAGTCTTCCTGAAGAAGCCACACCCTCAATCACGCCCTTCCTACGCCTCGTGCGGCGCACCCGCCAATCCCCTGCGCTCCAAGCTGAAACTACGCCCTTTCGAGTCACCAAACGCCCCTTTGCGCCACGCCCCCTAGCCGTCACCACGCTGCCTCTGGAAGCCACGCCCTCTGGACACGCCTACTGCGCGCCGTGCTCCCGCCCACCGCGTCCAACTGCTTCTGCGCGCTGCAGCGCGGGGCAGCTCGGGAGTATGGGCCGTCCTTCAGGATTCAAATCAATACAGGAAGCGAGGCGGTACGCGTTGCCCGGGGCAACCACGATCGGCAATGAGGTCCAGGAAGACTGGAATAGGGAAAATAACGCGGATGACTCGACTCTGAGGAAGGCGTGGCTCCTGTTTGTGGAAGACGCGGGGACGCGTCACCCCGAAACTTTGATTCATTCGGCAATTACGTGCAGTCATCCCGCCTCCCGCCGATGGCACCCGGCGCGCGACGCTGCTGTGCAGGCACTAAACATTTGTGTATTGTTTTGATTTTTCGAGATAGCTCATTTCTATCCAGGCTGGCCTCGAACTGGAAGCAACCCTCCAGCCTCAGCTTCTGAAATGATAGGATGACATGTATGTGACAATACACCACCCCGGCCTCAAAATCATTTTTATCGTGCGCCTACTGAGTACTCTCCAAAGCCCTAATGATGACAGCTCAAAACAAACCTCAAGAAGGTCCTGCTTCAAAAAAAAAAAGAGGTTACGGTCAGATGACTCAAAGGGTAGAGTGATTGCAGCAAGACAAATGGTCTGAGTTCCAATACCCGGAGTCCACTGGAGCTCCTGCAAGTTTTTGCTTTCTTTTTTTGGTGGGGGAGGGGGGCTCGACACAGTGTTTCTCTGTGGCTTTGAAGGCCATCTTGGTACTAGCTCTTGTAGACTAGGCTGGTCTCGTACTCAGCAGAGATCCTTCTGCTTCTGCCTCCCAAGTGCTGGGACTAAAGGTGTGCACCACCAATGCCTGGCAAAATAACACACAGTAAACAAATAGAAGTTTTTTTGAAAAGTAAGAAAAGACATATAGGGCAGAGGGCAAGCTGGAGGGCTGAGCAGAGTGAGCAAAGGCCTTGGGATGCTCAGCAATCACAGTCCCAGATTCTGGTGCCAGATGACTCTTCCAAAACAAGACAATCACACTGCCAGGCTTTGGGGGAAGTTGGGTCATTTTTTCTCGATGGGCAAGTTGTGAAATCCACAGCCCACACAGGAGAGGGGCTAGCAGCTGTTCAGAAATGGAAACAGAACAGCCAAGCCACAGGACACCTCCTGAAGCACAGCCACCAACCCACAGCCTCCTACTGAGAACATGGATGCCCCTTCATTCACAACCTAGTGTTGGCCCCATGGAGAAGGGAGCAAGACCCTTCGAGCAGTGCACCATCACACAGCAGTGAAAAAGGCTAGGGCTCTGATAGGTTACCAAACAGAGGGACTCAAAAGGGCACAGTGCTCAGCTGAGAGGGCCAGACACAAAGGGCCATGATGTGAGGGCCATTGACAGGAAATGTCCAGAAATGGGAAATGCATCCTGGGTGTCAGGGTCTAGAAGGCTCAGGTGGGAAGTTACCGAGTTCAAGGAGAGCCAGGCTCAAAATAAATGGCGAAGGAGCTGGTAAAGGTGTCTGTGGCCACATCCAAGATAAATTGGTGGCACACACCTTTAGTCCCAGACTCGGGAGGCAGAGGCAGGCAGCTCTCTGTGAGTTCCAGACCAGCCTGATTTACAAGAGCTAGTTCCAGGACAGCTTCCAAATCCACAGAGATACCCTATCTTGAAAAACCAAAACCAAAACCAAAAAAAATAATAAATTGGCTTGTCATCCGCTGACCTCCTCAAGAATGCTGTGGCAAGCACACACATGAGCATGAACATTTAGAGTTTCAAATGTAATTAAATAATAAATACAGCTCGGTGGGCAAGTTTTGCCAACATGAACAAGGTTCTATGCACAGAACCACCAAAAATTAAACTAAAACACACTTTTGGGCATATTTGTTAGAGCCCTTGCCTGGCAAACACACTCACCCAGCTTAACAAAAACAGACCTGTCAAAGCACATCTGTCTTTCCAGTCTTGGGAACAGAGGCAGGAGAATCAGGACTTCAAGGCAGGGGCTGGAGAGGTGTTCAGTGGTTAGAGCGCTGGCTGCCCCTGCAGAGGACCAGGGTTCTGTTCGTAGCACCTACAGGCCTTCCACAATAGCCTGTGACTCCAGTTCTGGGTATCCGACGCCCCCTTCCGGCCACCACGGGTACTGCACTGCACACAGGGCATACAGTCCCAGGGGGCCTCTTCAGGTACTGCATGCACAAGTTGTACATAATCTCATATGGACACATACATACACAGAAAATCAACAACTCTTTAAAATGAAAACAAAAAAGAAAATCTAATATATGTATGTATTATATATGTATGTATGTATGTATATAATATTTTCATGATGTGTCAAAATTTATTAATTTATACCTTTGTTATTATTATTATTTTGGGGTTTTTTGGTGGTAAATCCACAGCCACAGGTCAGGTGTTCAGATTCCTAGTCATGGGTCTGTGAGATGACTCAGCAGGGAAAGATGTTGCCAACATGCCAAGGGACCTGAGTTTGGTTTTTGGACGCACATGGTAGAAGCTGACTCCTCCAAGCTCCAAGTTGTCCCTCTTCCCACATGGCCATATGTGCTCCACCTGTAAATATAACAAAATAAATACAATAAAACACCCACCAAACTAGCCAGTGACACAGGCTTGTGATTCCACTGTTAGAGAGCTGAAGCACAAGGGTACATAGGCTGGACTTAACAACAACAAAACCCACTCTCTCTCTCTCTCTCTCTTTTCCAAGACAGAGTTTCTCTGTGTAATACCTAGCTAACCTGGAATCAGCTCAGTAGACAGGCTGGCCTGGAACTCACAGAGATCCAAAATGCCTCTGCCTCCTGAGTGCTGGGAATGAAGGTACGTGCCACCTCTGCCCAGCTAAAACCCACTCCTATAGAGACTGGAATAATGGGGCCACAAGCCAATGACTGCTGCTTAACCAACACAGCTGGTGAAACCAGAAAATGCCTATAGAGAGAGGTGGGCCCTGTAGCCACATAGATACTGGATTTCTGGCCATCATGGACTTAGGGTGGAGAAACTGCTGAAGGGAAGTCATGGCTGCTGGGCCTGTGCAGCTTTTCCTGGTATCAGTTCCTCCCAGGGTGGCCTGGGCAGCATGCCAAGCTGTAGCCAGAGCACCAGCCTCCCTCTAAGCCATATCTGCTTCCTGCACCCTTGGGCCCTCGCTTCCCCTCTGCTGATCTGATGGCCAGATCACACCTGGCATTGCCCCTTCCACAGCCCTTTCAGAAGGCTCATATAAACATGAGTTGGGGATATAAACATCAGTTGGAGATGTGCCCCTGGCAAGCAAACCAAGGATGACAGCACAGCCCTTTTCAGTAGCCGTGTTATTTATTTTTCCCTGAGTGTGTGCATGTGTTTCCCAATTACCCTCCATCTTGTATTTGGAAGTAGGGTCTCTCACTCAGACCGGGGCTCACCCTTTGACCAGGCTGGCCACCCTTGAGTTCTGGCATCCCCTGACAGCATGTCACCTGAGGAGCCAAATTTCAGAGTCCTCAGGAAATAGGTGTGATGGCTCTGGTCCATGGTGCCAGCACTCAGGAGGTGAGCCCTAGGCTGCAGAGTAAGATGCTGGTCTTGATGGGCATTGGAAGCACATGCCTTTAATCCCAGCACTTGGGAGGCAGAGGCAGGCAGCTCTCTGTGAGTTCGAGGCCAGCTGGTTTAAAAACCATCATTTTGAGAGCAAATGAAATCAAATAAGACAACTGGGCTGTACCAGGAGCCTGCCAGCTCCATTACTTTCCTGCCCAGGCCACTTGTAGCTCACAGAGGACTGACTGATAAGTAAAGATCTTGATAATACATTAGAAATGGCTTTCCCCTATTTTTATTTTACTATTTAGCTTTATGTTTATTTTAGAGACAGTTTGTCTGTGTAGCTCTTACTCACTCTATATACCAAGCTGACCTTGAACTCACAGAAATATGCCTGCCTGTGCCTCCTAGTGCTGAGATCAAAAGTGTGCACCACCATTGCCCAGCTAAATTTCCTTTTTTTTTTAACTTTTATTTGAGTTGCTGTGAGGGTGCCAGATCCCCTAGAACTGGAGATACAGTTGCGAACCATCATGTCGGTGCTGAGACATCTCTCCAGCCCCGTATTTAAATGTCTTTCTATTTTTTGTTTTCTTTTCTTTTTTTTTTTTTCAAGACAGGGTTTCTCTGTATTGCTTTGGAGCCTGTCCTGGAACTAGCTCTGTAGATCAGGCTGGTCTCGAACTCACAGAGATCCGCCTGCTTCTGCCTCCCGAGTGCTGGGATTAAAGGCGTGCGCCACCAACGCCAGGCTTCAAATTTCTTAAATATTGATTTCATGCGCTTGCCATAATGGTGATCGCCATCTAGCCTGTGGCCTCTAAGATCGAACTCATGTTGTCAGGTTTGACTGCAAGCGCCCTCAACCGGTGAGCTGCCTCCTAATCCCTATTCCTATTCCACCTCCCAGGGACATTGGCCACGCCTCCTGTGGTATAGCCACGCCCGAATTCTTGCGCGTGCTCCGTCCGTATTGGTCGCGGTTAACCTTTGATTCAGAAGAAACTATTTTCATTCCTCTACCAGGGAGGTAGTCGGAGAGAATCTTCTTCCGGAGGAAGACCGGAAGTCGCTTCTCCGGCTTGAGGAGGGTTCCTCGGGCGCACGGGCTCCCCTGCTGCAGCGCTGGTTCCGCCCGGCCTGGTCACGTGGTCGCAAAGATGGCAGCGCCCAGGATACGCCAGGAGCGCCGCGGCTGCTGACCGGTTCTCGGCTTCCTTGGCGCTGTCACCGCGACCCGCTTCGACGCGTGCTGTATGTGCGGAGCTCAGCGACGAGTGCCCGTGGCAGAGAGCACGGTGAGGGGTGCCGGAAGTGCCTCCGGGGAGCTCCGGCTTTGAGGGACTGGCTGCTGGCGCTGGCCCTGGGGGTGGTGTGGAGGGCTCCCGCGGCCCTGCCATTGCTTCCACTTGGGGACTTGGGCGACTTCGCCGCATGTTACGTATTTGATTTGACGCAGGGTCTCATGTAGCCCAGGCTAGCCTCCATCTCGCTGAGAACTCACTTGAACGCTTGCCTCCTCCCCCGTGCTTGGTTGACAGCACGGTTTTTTTTGGTGCTGGGATGAGCTGCGGCTTCGTGCCGCTCAACCCGTGCCAGCCGGCTCAGCTTCCGTTTTTGGAGGCAGGATCTCCTGGGACCGGTTATCGTCCTGCTTCAGCCTCTCCAGCAGGGTGCTGGGCGTCAGTGCTGGGGCAGCCATGCCTTCCTCATTAAACTCGTGGACAGCTGGATGACATCAGAGCTCAGAACCTCCTTCCAGTTTGCCACAGCCTGTTAGTCCTGTTTGTGACGCATCTGATAGAGTCTTTCCTGGCGTCCAGGTGGCTGACTGGGGACCCTTCTCATACCCATCGATGTCTGGTTCCATGTTAATTCATCCATGAGAGGAAGTGTCTGAGCTGGATGTTTCGTCCATGGTTGGGGGAACGAATCTGTGCAAAAGCCCTGGGACAGGAGGAGGGAGAAGTCCCTAGGGAGGAGGGCCATCAGAAGAAGGGATGAAATATATCCCACAGGGCTTTGAGGGCTGTAGAAAATCCCAGTGTAAAGTTATGGTAGGATCATCCAGAAAGCAGTGAGATCCATTTTGTAATGGACAGTTTCCAAATCTATCAACCAAGCTGTCCTGAAGGAGTCTATCCTCAGTTTGGGGGTTGAGTCCCAGGAGGCGGGGTCACTTGAGGGGGCATCCTCCAGGACCAGCTCCCAACTGGGAGCATAATTCAAGGTTAGATCAGGTCCCCTGGGCCTGACTTCTGTTGCTCCTACATCTCTGAGCATTGTGTGGGGCCTGTGGCAGGTATTCAGGAGAAGCCTTGCTAGTCTGAGGTCCAGAGAACAGTTCAGCAGAAACTCTGGGCTGCTCAGGAGCATGAAGCCACCGCCTGTGACTGAGACAGCCATGAATAGCATGCTAGGTCGCTTATTTTCTTCCTCGGGGGAGGGTGGTGGTGGATAAGGAGGTTTGGGGCAATCGCTGGCCTCAGCAGCCTCGGAGCTGGAACAGCAGGTATGCAACCCAGTGCCAGCTTCATCCTCTCCGTTTTCTGTAGCTGGTTATGGAACCGGCCATGTGGAGCACTAGTGGGAAGGCGATCACTATGGTGACGGAGCAGGAAGTGGAGGCCATAGGGAAGACTCTGGTGGATCCCAAAGAGCCCCTGCAGACCCGCTTCCGGGCCCTGTTCACGCTGCGGGGACTCGGTGGCCCGCATGCTATTGCCTGGATCAGCCGAGGCTTTGAGGACAGTTCTGCCCTGTTGAAGCACGAGCTGGCCTACTGCCTAGGCCAGATGCAGGACTCTCGCGCCATCCCGGTGCTGGTGGATGTGCTGTGTGACACGAACCAAGAGCCCATGGTGCGCCATGAGGCTGGTGAGTAAGGGCAACCCAGTACTGTGCTAGCTCTGTCCCTTAGTCAGCCACAGCGGGCAGGGTTACAGCTAGGAACACAGGATGGAGAGGGCCACCCTTGTCCAGCACTGACTTTGGTGCCAAGATGCACCACACCATCCTAGCCTTGGGTCCTTGGCACACTCTGTCCCCTTGGCCCAAAGCCTGTTGTTGGCTCTAGCCTAATGGCGACAACCTCTGGGGTAAGGATTCTGATTGGCCAGCTGGGAGGCTGATGCATGGCTGCTGGGCACCAGAAAAACCAGTGCCTACTGGCTTGTTTTCTCAGGAGAAGCCCTAGGGGCCATAGGTAACCCGGAAGTTCTAGATCTTCTGAAGCAGTATTCTACTGACCCAGTGGTTGAGGTGAGGAGACTGAGTGGTCCTGTCCTGTGGAGTCAATGCGTGGTTGCCAGGACAACCTCCTGGAAAAGATGTTGTACAAATGGGGGGGCGTGTGGAGGTGGGGCAGGGCCACCCCTAAGCCCTCCCCACAGCTCTGAGTCCACAGCCTTGAGAATTTGACCTCTGCCCATGTCTGTCCACTGCTGGTGCCTCACCCACCACTTCTGCATCCACAAATCAGCTTTCCACTTTGGATCCCCCAGTCTGTATGCCCCTGTCATGGAGTCCATACTGTATGGTTTTTTTTGTGTTTGTATCCCACTGGGCACCATGTCTCTCCTGTTCATGGCTGAGTAGTATTTCAGTGTGCGAGAGATGTGCTGTGTGTGCGTGTGTCTGTCTATTGTCTGTGGCTACTGGGTCCTTGTGGGCATCCGTGAGTGAATCTTTCCCCAGCCTCCTTCCGGCCCCTGGTGCCACTTATTCTGCCTGTGAGATCCAGCCCTAGGGCCTCTGGACCCAGTCGAGCTCCTGCTCACGCCCCTTGGCTTGAGTCCAGCCTGAAGCCACTCGCCTTGTGCAGCCACAGGTCTAGGAGAGGGGATGGGCCAGCCATGCCCCCATGCTCCCTGCTTTGGGGACTCATGGCCGCCTCTGCCCTCCCTTGCAGGTGGCTGAGACATGCCAGTTGGCTGTTGGGCGTCTGGAGTGGCTGCAGCAGCACCCTGGGGAGGTTGCAAGTTCAGGACCCTACCTGTCCGTGGACCCTGCACCCCCTGCGGCAGAACGGGATGTGGGGCGGCTGCGGGAGACCCTGCTGGACGAGGCACAGCCACTCTTTGAGCGGTACCGTGCCATGTTCGCTCTGCGCAATGTTGGTGGCAAGGAAGCGGCCTTGGCCCTGGCTGAAGGTGAGGCAGGGACTTGGGGGTGGGAAGGCGTGGGTGATCATGCAGGTTGCTATCCAACTGTTGTCCTGTTGTCCTGTGCTCCCTGCAGGCCTGCGCTGTGGCAGCGCCCTCTTCCGCCATGAGGTGGGCTATGTGCTGGGCCAGCTGCAGCACGAGGCGGCCGTGGGTGATCTGGCGGCCACCCTGGCGCGGACCACTGAGAGTGCCATGGTACGGCATGAGTGCGCGGAGGCCCTGGGTGCTATCGCCAAGCCCGCCTGCCTGGCTGCGCTGCGGGCTCATGTCACCGACACCGAGCGCGTGGTGCGGGAGAGCTGTGAAGTGGCTTTGGATGTATATGAACATGAGCACTGCCTGGATTTCCAGTACGCTGATGGACTTGAGCGCCTGCGGCCACCACCATAACAACCACACCCAGGACAGCACCCAGGACTCCACTGTCATGAGACTTCCTGCTATGGCTCCTTGTCACCCTGGTCCAGGGTTCTGTGGGCGGTGCCCCAGGGCTGACTTCCCTGCGTGAGACTGCCAGCTGCGCCCACTGTCCAGACTTAGGAGCTTTGTTTCCTGCCCCCCACCCGCCTGGCTGGGTGCTAGTGCACAGTACCCCCTCCTGGTGCTGTCCACCTGTGACTATCACCTGTGCCCGCTCCAGACTGACCCAGTGTGTAAGCTTCCGGATGTCAGGGAATGATCAGGCTTGAGATGTGGGAGCAGGCTGTGGGGTCCCAGGGCCAGTAACTGCTTTTGAGTTCATCTGGCCAAACCAAGGGTACTGCACTAATAAAAAAGTTACTTTTGACAAGTGGTAGTTCCTGGTGTGTGGAGTTCCTGGCACGTGGGGACAGTGGCATGGCCCTATTTGTCTAGTTATTAGGGGCGCAGAGCATGGAGTTCAGTGGTACTGTGCTATGGATTCCCATCCATGCTACCTGGGGTACCCGTGTCATTACCTGGCAGGTTGGCCTTGCTCCAGTGACTACCACAGTGACTTCAGGCCGGGTAGCCCCTGCTCTTTTCTGCCTTTGGTTCTTCCCCAGGAAGTGGGTGTGGTCAGGGCACCCGCAGCCATTCAGGGCTTGGCTTTGTCCGCAAGGGAGATTGGTGTGAGGCTATGCCACTGCTGGACATGTGTAGGCAGATGTGCAGGACTCTTGTCTCTGGTGATGCCCTGGAACTTTGGCCATGCTCCTGTGAGTCAGCTGGGCCTTGGCGTACAGTCATCCTTCTGTCTCGGCACTGTGGCCGCCATGACCGGCTTTTCCTTGTCCTTGTGGTTGCATGAAGAGCGCTTGAGCTAGCCTCCAGCTCTGTGTGTTCCTTATAGACATGGGCCTCTGCAAGAGCCACAGGCACTCTAAAGCTGAGCCGTCTCGTGCTTTTCCAGGCTGGGTATCATGTAGCCCAGGCTGACCTTGAACTCCAACCTGCAGTGTAGCTAAGGATGACTGCCCCCACCAGTGCTGTGATGGCAGCAGTGCACCTTCATGTGTAGCTTTATTTGCTTGTTTGAGTCAGAGTGCAGTGCATGGCCCAGGTTGGACTCGAATTCATGGCAATCCTTCTGCCTCTGTCTCCTGGGTGTCAGGATCACAGATGGTGGCCCTCACAGGCTCCAGCGCTCTTCTGGCTGTCCTAACAGCACAGTGAGGCTGCAAGCCCCTCTCAGTTCATTTGTCACTCAGCCTGACTCCTCAAGCCTCCTTACCCAGGGGTGACCCCCTTTACCTGCACACCCGTGGCTTAACTCTTCCCTGGCTGACCCTCTTGGCAGTGCTCTCTTCCTCAGTCCTCTGCCTGGCTGGGGGAGGGGGTAAAGCTTATCTACAGACCACAAAGCCCAACGTGCTGTATGCATTTCAGCTACAGCCTTGAAGCCAGATGGTGACACCTGAAGCGACACCAACCTCTTGTCCCAGGGAAATGCCCCTACCAGAGCCTGGGACAGCATAGCATGCAGCGACTCTCAGAACTGGATTTGAACTAGGGTCTTTCAGGAGCACTCAGGTGGCGTCCTGTCGCTTCTAGAGCCTCCATGGCTCCACCCCACCACCATTGTGCCTACTTGGGGGATCCATCCCTACATCCGTCCTCCCAACACCTACCACCAGAGGGCTCGCGTGAGTCCTCGCGGCTTGCTGCCATCCAGGATCCCCAGGCCGTCTTCTTGGCGGTGCCAGTTAGACCCTCCATCCCTCAGCCGCAGGCTCCTGCAGGCTCCGGCTGCTCCAGGGCCTTTGCGCGGGTGCGAGGCAGAGGGCTGATTCTGTAAAGTCGCTGGTTCGTCATCACATGTGAAGCCATCAAGGGAGGGGACCAGACAGATGGGAGCAGCAGTCCTAATCCTTTCAGCTCATCCATCCCTTAATCGCCTGCAGCGGGCTCCTGTGTTGGGTGTCACTGGCCATGGCGGGGTCGGCCGTGAGGGAGGCAGAGGACTGGAGCCCGGTCCCGGCTATGTACGAGGAGTACCGGCCGCCCCCACTGGACGCCATCCGCCTGCCCCGCTATGCTCTGTACCTGCTGATGGCTGCTGTCCTGGTGGTGGCCGTGGCCTACGCCATCGTTGGCCACCTCATCAAAGACCTCGCTCACGACCTGGCGGGTGAGCCATGCTCTCCTCTGCCCCTGGCATGAGCTGGAGGTCTGGTCCAGGCCAGTTGTGGGCCAGGGTGGGCGGGCCCAGGACCAGGTCAGCGGGGAGCGGGGTCAGGGGGTGGGCCGGGGTGGGCAGAGCCCGTCTGAGGGGAAAGCCATACAGGGACAGGTCAGCGTGGGCGGGGCCAGCCACGCTCTCATCGGTCTCCTCCTCACTGCAGACTGGGCCTTTGGTCCTAAGCCGGACCAGGAGGAAGGTCCCCGGGAGCTGCGGGCAAGCCTGGCTGCAGAAGACCTGGAAGAGTTGGACCTTCAGCTGGCCCTGGCTTGGCGCGGGGAGGAAGACTCCGCCCGGGCTCCTCACCGCCCCTCCATCACGTTCCGGGACCCGCCTGTGCAAACGGACTTTTGGAGGCTAGACTAACCTGGAGGGACTGTCCCCATCCATCGAAGTTAGCCCACCTATGTACAACATGCCTGTTGTATGACACACGGTCTGGCTGGCTTGAAACTCCACATACCGCTGCCTCAGCTTTAGTGCTGGGATTGCAGACACCACTTCCATCTTATTAAGACACTTGGAGATAGGGTCTCATGTAGCCTAGCTAACCTTGAATAGCTCCTGGCCCTCCTGTCTCCACCTCCTGAGTGCTGGGATGACAGGTCACCACACTAGCTTCTGTGGTGCTGGGGATGGAGCCCAGGGCCTCGTGCAGGCTAGGCCACCTTCTTTCTGCTCACTGGGCCAGCCCCAGGCCCTGATGTTTTTTCTTCATCATGAATAATTTATGGCAGAGACTCCTTCTGCATCAGGAGTGTGGAGGACAAATTTAGATACAAATTAAAAGTGTGGCAAGGGCTGGAGAGATGATGGCTCAGTGGTAAAGAGCAGTGGCTGCTCTTCCAGAGGACCTGAGTTCAATTCCCAGCAACCATACTCACAGCCATCATACCCTGAAGATCTGATAACCTCTTCTGGCATGCAGGCATATGTGTAGACAGAACATGGCATAAAAAAAATAAATCTTTTTTTGTTTGTTTTTGATTTTGTTTTGAGACAGGGTTTCTTTGTCCTGGAACTTGCTCTGTAGACCAGGCTGGCCTTGAGCTCCATCCAGCCCCTCTCCCCACCTCACCTGTCAGGCTGGTCTGTCTGGGTTCCTAATGTCCCACTTGGACTGAGAGCTCTCGGCACATGATGGGTATACAGTAGGAGTTTAATATCTGCCTGCCAGTCTGGTTGGAGCAGGTCCTTGCTGGCTGTGTCCAGTGTTCATCTGAAGGATCCTAGATTCTCTGTCTGTCCCTGGATGTACAGAGGGACATCTATAAGCATTGTCACAACAATTTTAAATCTTTTAGTTCAGGATTATTCTAAATATGTTTCAAGCCAGGTGAGGTAGTGTCTTTACTCCCAGCACTCAGGAGGCAGAAGCAGGTGGATCTCTGTGAGTTCCAGACCAGACTGGTCTACAGAGTGAGTTCCAGGACAGCAAACAAACAAAATGTCCAGACAATATGAGCCTGGCTTTGAACTTGGTATATCCTGAGGATGACCCTTGAAGCCCCGCTCCTCCTGCCTTCACCCGAGTGCTGGAATGACAGCCTGTGCTGCTCCACCTGGCTTCTTGGTGCTAGGGTTGGAACCCAGAGCCTGGTTTGCTCTCTGAGCTGCAGCCCCAGCTCAACTTTTTGGTCTGGAGGCCAGGTGCCTCCAGGAGCTAGGCCTGGAGCTAGGCATTCTGCTTCAGGCTTCCCGAGTGGGGATAACAGGCATATGACAACAAAGCTTTCTTTCCTTACTGTCTCTTTCACGTGCCCAGGCTGTGGCTGCTCCCGTGAGGCCTCTGGGTGGGGCCTCCCTTTGCCCAGGTGGGGCTCACTATCTAATCTTTGAGCCCAAGGTTGAGGGCAGGGTCATGAGTGCATGGTCATCCAGATTCTGATTCCTGTATGCTCAGCAGGCAGGTGGCTCTGCCATGACCTTGAGGGTCCCCGGCCCTAAGAGCCTGGTGCTGACCAAACTACCAACCCTGCAGCACTGACTTACCAGGCCTGGAGCTGCAAAGTTCGTCCCAGCCATCCATCTTGACTGTGACATCTGGTTGTGTGCACTTGTAAAGGCATGGGATGCCACATCTATGCAGCCTGACCTCTTTCAGGGGATGCTGGGCACCTGTTACCAGTGGCTGGCCCCGGGGCTGCTGGTCTCCAGGACAGGTGCTGGGGGAGGGACAGTCCAGGTTAATATTAAACCAGCTGCAGACTCTGCCCTCCAGGGCCAAAGGGGCCTGATGTGCAGCCAGGTAAGCACAGGAAGCCAGGCCACAGGTGACAGGTTCTCCAGCCCCCGCCCACACACCACCCTGTGCCTGCCCTGTCTTAACCCCACCCGGGTCTCAGGCTGCTCACACCAGCTGGACACCGACCTGTCTCCAGCACGCTGGCCATGGACACACTGGGAAGGCTGCTCCTGGCTGCTCTGCTCCTAGTACCTGCCGAGGCCCAGCAGGGTAGGATCGGGGTGGCAAGCCCACCTGGGGTGGGGGTTGGCAGCTACAGCTGGGGCTCTCCACTGCCTCATTTCCCATTAGGAAAACATGAGGCATGGAGGGAGAGGCCACAGGAAGAAGAGAAAGTGTGAAGGGCCCAGTGGCCTGCAATTCTCCTCAGCACCCTTCTCTCCTCCCCAAGCTGGTCCTTTGAGAGCCCCCACCACAGTTGTCTTCTGAGGGCCCCACCCTCCAGCCCTGCGTGGCCCACCTTCCTCACAAGCCCTGCCCTCAGGCCCCTGACATCTCTGGGTGCCCATTCTTCCTGACTTTCTCTTCCTTCTTTCCTTCCTTCCTTTCTCTCTCTCTTTTTTTGCCCCTGACATCTCTTTGTGCCCATTCTTCCTGACCTTTCTTTCTTTCTTTCTTCTTTTCTTTCTTTCTTTCTTTCTTTTTTTTTGGGGGGGGGTTTCGAGACAGGGTTTATCTGTGGCTTTGGAGCCTGTCCTGGAACTCGCTCTGTAGACCAGGCTGGCCTCGAACTCACAGAGACCCGCCTGCCTCTGCCTCTGGCGTGCTGGGACTAAAGGCAGGTGACACCAACACCCAGCTTCTTCCTAATTTCTAAACTACTACCCTCTGGGAACCTCCCCTTTCATTAAGGTCCCTCCTATCCCTGCAGGCCCCGCCTTTCCCAAGGCCCCGCCTCTCCTCATAGTCCCCTCCCTCTCTCACGGCCCCGCCTCTCCGCACAGGCCCCTCCTCTACCCTCAGCTCCCTCGCTTCTCCCCAGGCTGATCCTCTCCCTGCAGGTTCCTCTCTTCCCAGGGGACCAGACCCTCCTCTCTTTTGCTGACCCCTCCCACCCTCCACAGCCTCAGAGCGCCGCCTGAAGCCCTGGCTGGTGGGCCTGGCCGCTGTAGTGGGCTTCCTGTTCATAGTCTTCGTCCTCATGCTGGCCAACCGTGTGTGGTGTTCCAAACCCAGGTGAGGACCCGACCTTGTCCACCCAGGGCCTCCTATGACCTCCGATGGACCTTCTTGGTCCCATGCCAGGGTCAGCCTGCAGGTTGCCTTGCTTCTGCCTCCTGCCAACCCCTCATGGCTCATGGAATTCATGACTTAAGGAGAGGACAAGGAGGCAAAGAACAGCAGCCCCCAGCTCTTGCATAACCCTGTCTTTTCACCGGTGCAGATCAGATGATGAAGAGGTCACAGTCAGAATGGAGGCCAGTATGAACGAGTACATGGAGCCAAGGTACCCTGTGGGTGACCACGCCCAGCCAGATAATATTGGGAGGCCCAGCTGGGGCAGGGATAGTGCCAAACAAGTCGGCTCTGGTTCAGGAATCCATAATGCAAGTTCTGGATCCAGGAGAGGAACAGCAGTGGGGGGAAGAGTTGGAACAAGTAGATGAGTTTGAGTGATTCTCGAGCAAGGGAGGGAGAAAACCCAGAACAGTTCTAAGAACATAGTTGTGTGCCCACGGTACAACATAGTTTCCATCACTCCATTCAACCATCTACCGAACCATACACCCCACCAACAAACCACCCACCCACACATCCACAAAATCACCTATCCATCATTCCATTCATTTATCCACCTATACATCAACCCCCGATCCCATCCACCCACCCATCCATCTGTCCATCATTTCATCCATCCACACACTCATCCATCCACCCATACACCCAACTATCCATTCGGCCCTCCACTTACCAAAATTGCCAGACAGCCAGGCATCCATCTGTCCACCTGTCCATGAATTTATCCATCCATCCATCTGTCTATTCATCCATGCATCCACCTATTTACTCATTGACCCATCCATCCATCCACCCAAACATCAACAATGTCATCCATCCACCCACCCACTCATTCATCCATCTATCCATCTATCCATCCATCCATCCTCCAAGTCAGGAACCCATCCACCCATCTGTTTACACCTCCAATGATCCACCCATCCATGCACCCACCCACCCACCCATTCATTTATCCATCCATCCATCCATCCACACATCCATTTATCCACCCATCCATCCACCCCTTCACCCATCCATTAACCCATTTATCTACCCACTCAGCCATCCCCACCCACCCACTCATATATTCAACTGTCTATAAACCCATTTATCTGTCCACTCATCCATCCATATCCCATCCACCTACCTGTCCACCGGTTTACCCACTTTTTAATTTCTCCATCTACCCACCCATCCATCCGTCCATCCACCCATCCTCCCTCACATCTCTGCAGAGCACACATGGTTCCTTTCCTGCTGGGCGACCCTGAGGTCATTGAAGCCCCAGAGACTGTGTTTACAGGGCCTGACAGTTTCATCCCATGAGCAGCAGCGACATGCTCTCACTGTGGTTCCTGAACCCCACAGTAAAACAGAGAAGAAGAAGCAGAAAAAGCAGATGAACAGGAAGGGTGGTCACAGCAATGAGGGCTTGGAACTGGACGAGAAGGATTCCTCAGATGACGAGAGAGACAAGAAAACAGCCTTGTAAAGCTCCTGCACACACCAGTCAAGGAGCAGCCGTCATGGAAATCCAGACTGGTGACACCTGATCTCAAAACTGTCCCCAAGTGAGGAGGCCAGCTCTGCATGCCATGTGTACAATACTGTTCACCACCTCCCCCACCTGCCCCATCCATACCATCACTATCAGCCTGTGCTCTCTCCCAACCCTCTGCTCTCCATTCCTCACCCCCATCCTCTGGCACATCCACCTGGCTGCCCCCAGGCAGGGTCCTGGCATCACTTGAGCATTTCCTCTTTCCCAGTGGCCCTAAGCCCCTGAGCCCAAGCCCCTGTGCAGTTCCTGGAAGGCCTTGAGCCCTCTAGTGGAATTCGTGTCTAGGAGAGACACCCTGTGGCCATGTTTTTCAGCCAGGGTCTCTCTTGTCTAGACTCTGCCCCCATGTCACCTGGCTCTTGTTTCCTGTGACTGGGGAGGCTGTTTTGCGGGGACACTCCCAGCAAAGGCCACCAGGGGGAACCTTCCAGCACTCTCACTTAATAAAGGCCCCTAATGCTCTTGCTGTACCTTCATATAGGTTTAGGAGGCCAGAGCCCAGAGCAGGAGCCCCAGGCCACCAAGGCATGGGCAAGGTGTAAGTAGTAGGTTCTCATGAAGGTTTTAGACTCACCTGGGCTACTCTGCCATGCTTTGTGGCCCTGGAAAAGTGGTCCAACCTCTCTGAAGTCCCTTGCTCAGCAGTAATCAGGAATCAGGGTCCTGGGACATTTTTCCCTCCAGCCCCTCCAGCAGAACTAGTGGAGCCTAAGGGTCACGGGGGACCCCCACAGCTCTTTGCTTTAGGTAAAGGGGTTAGGTTATTTTTTACTTTAAACAAGGTCTCATGTAGCCCAAACTGTCCTCAAATTTCCCATGAGCCAAAGATGACCCTGAACTTCTGACTCTCCTGCCTCCAGACAGACCTGAGCCACCATGCAGTTCCAATGGCTCTGCTGGAGTCCAGGGTTATCTATAGTGGAGCTGGACCCTTGACCTCTAGCCAAGACTTACTTCACCCTGGGCAGGGCCAGCCGGCCCCAGCAGCAGGAGGCACAGGGGAGCTGGGGAGAGGCCACATGTCAGCCTGGACTTGTGAGCACAGTACAATGCCATGGGTCGAACCTCCACATTTTTGATCCAACCCTAGCTCTTTTATTCTATTCTATTTTATTTTATTTTATTTTTTTTTTTTTTGTTTTGTTTTGTTTTTTGAGACAGGGTTTCTCTGTAGCTTTGGAGCCTGTCCTGGAACTTGATCTGTAGACCAGGCTGGCCTGGAACTCTCAGAGATCCGCCTGCCTCTGCCTCCTGAGTGCTGGGATTAAAGGCAAGTGTCACCACAGCCCAAGCGAGTTACTTATGCTCACAGAAAGGAAGACCAAAGACAGTGGAAGAGTTGAAGCTTAAGCTTGTTTAATTTTTATACATTTTTCTTTCTTTTATTTATTTTTTTTGCCTTTTATTGAATCTTTTATGGACCCCCCCTCACTTTTTTCTTTCATTTTTTTTCCTTTTTTTTTTTTTTTTTTTTTTTTTTTTTTTTTGCATAGGGAGAAACAGAACAGCAGGCAGTCAGTGGTGCTTAGGCGCGTCCACAAAACAAAACAAAAAAAACCAGAAACTAAAATGAGTTTGTAATATATGAGGAGTATGCTGTGGGCACAGGTGATGGGCGATGAAGGGCCAGGGGTGCCTCCGCTCCCCATCCAGACCCCCACTTGCTGGGGGGGAGGGGTCACCACAGGCCTTGAAGGTGTGTTTATGAAAAGCTGAAGGCCAGAAATGCAACAAGGAATAAAATACAAAGTGGTTGGATGGATACAAAAATCTCAAATAAACCCAAATGATCTCGGCAGGAAAATGAAAAGGCCAGCCTTACCACCCAGAAAGCAAGGGGCACATGGGAGAGAGTAAGTTAAGAGAACCAGCCCCCACGTTCCCTGAAGCAGCCTATGAGCGCCATTAGCCCTGCCCTGCCCAGTCTCTCAAACCCAATGCTTGTACAGGTGCTACAGGGGAACTCGGGTGCTCACACTGGGAACTTCAGGCTCAAAGGGGCTTGTTTGGGAGGGTGCTGCTGCCTGGCTGGGCTCTGAGGTATCCTGCTGGGTCACCCAAGCTGGGGTAGTGAGGCTGGGTGCTGGGGGAGGGATGGTGGCTTGGGAGTGCATGCCTTCCTCCCTCACAGTACTGCCTCTGTTTCTGCCCCAAGTCTGAGGGGAGCAGGGGAGGACCCCAAAACTGCACCATCAGGTGTGTGAGGCACTGACTGGGATATGACTGCTTGGCTTCACGGTTACAAAATTGGGGACTTGATGTGAGTCCTCCTCCCACCTAATCCCTGGGGGGGGAGGGTACAGTCCCAAGCAGTGTGCCTGTCAGACAGACGGATGGATGGAGGGGAGGACAGCCACTGACAAGTGGGATCTGAGGCCTGGGCAGTTTGTAAAGGGGAGGGGTAGGACATCAGGAGTGGTGGTACATGCCTGTTGTCAGAGCAACTGGAAAAGAGCCAGGGGGATTGCCATGAGTTGGAGGCCAGCCTGGGCAACCTGGCAAGACCCTCCTGTCTCAAGATAACAAAGCAATCAGTGGGGAGAATAAGTGGCTGGACGTGGAACCCAGCACTCAGAAGAAGGGACAACTCACTCAGCGTGGGGGGGGGGGAGGGGGATAATTGGAACAGAGACAAAGCTACTGTGTCCAGCACTGTGGGGGATTAACTCCCAACTAAATGCCTGTGTGTAAGTATGCAGCACAGCCAACCTGAGCCCCTGCATACTGGCTGGGACATTTGCTGGTGGCCTGGGGTGTCTTGACTGGGTCACACATTAGGTCCCAGAGGGAGAGAATCTGGTGACCCTGGCCCTATCTTTGAGGGGACCTGGGAGAAAACCTTTCTTCCTCAAATCATTCCCACCACCTTGGACATTCCTGATTATCAAGCTCAAGACATCAGGGTTTAGGACCCCAGATGTCTTCTGGTCCCCAATTGGGAAACAGGGTCACAGGCTAGACCCCAAGCGGTAAGCTGTGGGGGCTTCACCAACTAGTGATGCCAAGTTAGGGGATGGGCAAGGGATGGTGGCCTGAGGAAGGGATGGATTTGAAAAATGCCAGTTTCACATACAGAAAATAAAGCCAAAATTCCCAATGTCCTGTCCCACCCTAAAGTCACTCATCTGAGAGTCCTGGCTAGTGTGGGGTCCCCAGGTACCTGGGTGGGAATTGGAGATTTTCTGAGAAGTGGGAGGCAGGGATCCGAGCAGTTCCTCCCAACCTGCCTCCAGGCACCTTCTGTCCACTTTCCCTACCCCACCATCCTACCGCCCTGTGTATTACCTACTTTCTGGGGGTGGAGGACACAGGCTGGGGAAGGAAAGAATGAAAAGCCACAAGTCAGCCACGGGAGCAACTGATGGGTTCTGCCCAGGCCAGGGTGGGTGGTGAGGTGAGCTGGGATCTCCCACCGCCTCCTGAGGCTGAAGCCTGAAACCTGGGGTGAGCCTGCGGTGCTCTGTTACTGCCCAACGTTCAGATGTGTGAGTGGGAGGGAGGACCAGCTGCCTGGTGGGGGGCAGAAGGGGCAGGAGGATGGCTTGAGTTGGGACTCTTGTCTGCCCCACTAGACCCTGGCTATATTGTTTTAGCTTTGGTGAAGTTTTAAGAGCGGAGTTAACACAAGACAGAAAAACAAAAACAAAACAAAAAAAAAAAAAAAAAAAAAAACCCAAAGGCAACCACAAACAACAGAACTAAAAAGAGAAAAGAAAAACTGTAATCATGGACATGACAAAGGCCTTTCCAGCAGGACAGAGACCATTGTGTCCCCGGTGCCCTGGCTGGGGATGCCCCACAGCTGAGCTCAACCCACAGACACACAGACGGATATTGCATATATTCAGCTTTGTGGGTTAGCAGGAAGACAGAGGAAGGGACAGGACGGCCCCCAGGCTTTCTCTGGGGTGGGAGGGTTGAAGGGGAAGGGCCTGAGAGCCCTACCCCCAGGGCAGGGGACTTGGGGACACCTCAGAACTGGGGTGGCAAATGAGCACCAGGGAGAGTCCTGTCCCCCAGTTTGAGGGGCTAGGGTGGGGAGGTGAGGGGGGAATCCGCAAACCATGACCAGTATCAGTATCGTGACTTCCTTAACAGTGTTTTTTGGTTCCTTCCTTTTTTTCTTTCACTTGAGGCAGCGGCTCACTCTAGCCCAGGCTGGACCTGGAACTCACAGCAATCCTTCTGCCTCAGCTTCCCAAGGGCTGGGATCACAGGTGTATGCCACCAGCTACCATGCCCAGTCTTTTTTTTTTTTTTTCTTTTATAAAAATTTTTTCTTTCTTCTTTTGATTTTTCTTTTACAAATAGAAATACCACCCTTTTGGATTTTTATTTTTTATTTCATGTAATCGCTTGTCTGTTTGTAACTATGCGTGCAGGGCATGCGTCTGTGTGCGCGGATATTATTAAAAGTTAATACTTGTCCTCGGGAGAGCAAGGCACATGTTGTGGTAGAAAGTTCGTGCAAATTCGGAAATAATGTTTTTTTTTTTTTTTTGGTAAGGATATATATATAATTTTTTGTGTATCCTTTTTTTCCTTTTTTAGTAGAGGCGGTGAGGGGCGCGGGCAGGGTGGGGCAGACCGGGTGGAGCTGTCATGCACGCAGCAGCCCGGGAGGGGGGGGAGAGTCTTGGGTGTCGCGGGGCTTTAAGCACCATGCAGTTAGGTAAATAGTTGGTTCTGTCCTGACCCCTGGGGGACCCAGCTGGCTGGCTTGGGAGGGGTCAAGAGGGTCTGGCCAGATCCACCCTGGGGACAGACAAGCTGTCCCACACCCATTGGCCTCAGCCCTACACCTGGACAGTGACCTCCGCGATGTCCCCAATGGTCCTCCCTGCTGGAGGGTCCCTGAGGACGGACGGACAGATGAATGGGGTTTGAGACCTCAAAGGCTGGGTAAGCATCTTGGGGGGCTTGGTATGTTCAAGTGGCCTTGCCCTGTCCCCAGGACAGTGGGATGGGGCCTGGCCCTGAGGGCTCTGCTAGGGTGATGGCTTGGTGCCTTTGTGGGCAGGGGACATAGGCATGATGGGGCTAAGATGGGTGATTGGACAGGAGGGCCCTTTGTGGGTTCATTGCCCCTAAAATACCCAACTTTCCCTCTCAGGGAAGCCCACCTGAGATGGGGACCCAGGTGGGTGCTTTGGGGGCTGCAGAGCTGGGGTTTGGGTATGAAGCTTGCGCTCCATCTTAGTGTTCTTTTTATCTAGGTCAGTGGAGTTTGAATAGCAGATGGGGGAACCTGCCACCCCATCACCCCATCACTCACAGAGCCCTCCCACCCGGGGTCCGGGAGCACTTCCACCAGCCTTCTTGGTCCCTGTGCCGGGCCCCACATCATCAGGGGGTCAAAGTGCAAAGGGGGCATCCCCCTGCAGTGAGGCACCCCAGGGTGGGTCTCCAGGAAGTAAGGCACTGGCAGAAGTGTAGGGGACAGCACACAGCCCCAGCCTGGGTTTGGGAACACCCAGCTCTATCCCTGGGGTCCCGTCTCTCTAGCTTAGAGGGCGTGCGGCGATGAGGAGCTGGGGTGCATGGGGACGAGGGGGGGTGCCCTGGCCACTCTGTGTCCCTGATGGATGAGGGGTCGGCGGGTGGGCGGAGGGGTTAGGCACTTAGATCGTGGCACCTCCCGCCTCCAGGGGCCTGGGTGTGGGGGGGTCCCGGCTCCCTCACCTCTGTTTCTCAAAGTGCTGATACTTCCATGTGCGAGAGGAGAAGGCCGGGGGTTGGGAACTGCATGGCCTCTCATGCCAGGGTGGGGCTGGGGACAAATTGCATAGAGAGATGTGTCCTTCCAAACGAGGTCCGCAAGGAGAGGGGACCAGAGGGCCGAGGCGGAGGCTGATGCAGGACCCTCCCAGGGGTCCCAAAGTACCTGTGGCACATCTGTCCCCTGCAGGGCCAGCGCTGGGCAGCTGGGCAGCTCTGCGTGCTCTCCAGGACTCTGCTGCCAGCATTGGGGTCGCATCCACCTCTGCCAGCACCGCCTCCAGCCTCCTGTCTTTGGCAAACACCGTCGGTGGGGACGGCCAGCAGAGGTCTCCCGAGGCTGGCACTGGTGGCTGGCGGCAGAGGTCTGGGGAGAGGTGGCTGGGCTGGGTGGCCCACCCCGTCCACTCTGTCCATCTGTTGATGCTGGGTGTGGGTGCCAGGCCGGGCTGGCCTAGTCTGGGGTGATGGCAGGGTCCTTGGGGTACAGAGGGCCGCAGGCAGCCATCCATCAACAGGCGCCACAGAGACGGAGCTCCCATCTTTTTGCTGTCTCGGTTGGGAAGGTTTTCCTCTTTCCTCTTTGTTCCTGTTTGTTTTTTGTCCTTTTCTCTTCCTGTGTATCTGTCTTTTCAGTTGCTGGGAGTCGGCAAGGAGCTTCTTGCTCATTTTAATTTTTCACTGAAAATGCAGGCTTGGGCCATCACCTCTGGGACTCCCCGGCCATGGAGACGTGGGAGGGTGACCTTGGCTATCCCAGGTACCAGGACTATGTGGTTGGTGGAGATAGGAAGAGAGAGAAACGGGGTGTCAGGAGCCAGCTACCTCTTCCCACCCCCCACTGCACCTCAAAACCCTGTATGCAGACCATAATACCAGGTGTGACCCTGGCCTATGGCCTCTGCCCAAGGCTGCTAGGCAAATACAGGAGGCCCAGTGAGATGTCAGATCTGCCCCTTTCAGAGACACCATACCGGTGTGATGCCAGGGACTTGGCCCAAGTATGTCCTGTGTGATGTGTAAGTCCATGCTGTGTGATTTCAGACTCACACAAGTACATCTTGTGTGACATCAGGGACTTGGTTTTACATCCCTCTGAGGTCAGACACTCAGCATAAGTAAACCACCTCATGTGCTATCAGGGACTGTGATGTAAGTGTGTCTCCTGCAGGGACTTGGCATAAGCAGTCCCATGTGACATTAGAGACTCAGTGTGATCATGTTAAGTACATGGGTGGCTGAGAGTTCTGTTTGCTTGGCTAATTCAACCCCATTCCTGGGCCTCATTGTGGAGGCTCTGAGTGTGGCTCATTATTAGACCAGGCTAGCCTAGAACTCACTGTGTACCTAGGATGACCTTGAACTTATGATTCTCCTGCCTCAGTTTCCCTAGTGCCATATTTGCCACCACAATGGGATTATTTGTCTTTTTAGCAGTCATGCCCTTACCCTATCAAGCCACGATGCTGTTGGCTGAGCTCAGAGGGTGGACAAGAACCAACTTGGATTGGTTTGGCTTCAGATTCCCTTTCTGTCCCCTCCAAGGCCCCTGGGCTATAGGTGAGCACTGTCCTGGGAGTCCCCCCAATAACCACAACAAGGGGGTCCCTGCCTGAGGCCTGGGGCTGCTGGTGAGGGGGCAGGGCAGGGTGGCCTGAGGGGCAGCGAGTCTCTAGGCCCACCCTCAGCCAAGTTCAGGCTCCTGTGTACCTTACCTCATGTCTGGATTCCATTGGCAACCAGACAGGCTGGGATGTGATCCTGGCCTGGTGCTAGACTGTGGCCTCCCTGGGGGCCCAGAGTTTGCCATGCTGACAGAGGGCAGGATCGAGGTAGTGGGAGGCAGCCAGAGCCTCAGTCCCTGGGTTATTTGTGTGCTCGGATATGAGGGGCCTGGGGGTGGAGGGTGGGACCAAGGTCTTCGTGTACAGATGGTGAGGCAGGGAGGAAGCCAGGCTGCCCGGGGAGGCTGAGCCAGGAATAACAATGTAGACAGCCAGGAATTGCTGACTGGGAAGAAAGAGCTGAGGCCCAGAGCTGAGCCAGGGGCCTGGAGGAGGGGTAGCCCTCACTGGCAGCCTCCTGATTTCCCTGGGGTAGGGGGTGCAGATCTTGTCCACCCCATAACCTGCCACCCCCTCCTGCCTCAGGAAGCCCCGTCCAGTCCATTCTCCTCCTCCCTAAAGCCTTCTGTGGCTCACTGGTACGCTGGAGGTAAGGCCCACATTTTCCTTATGCCAGCTTGCCCTTGTCTAGCCCACAAAGTATCCCCGTGTCCTCTGTGGGCCAGGCCTGGTCACTGGGTCACTATGTTCTGTCTTCAGCCAGCAATGGCTGACCACCCTGGCTCTGGATGCCCTGACCCAGAGGAGGAGACAGAGGGAGCCACCCATTTGTCAGTGTTCTCTGGACCCATGGGAGGGAAGAAGAAGGCAGAGGCCATGGGCTGAGTGACCCAGCAAGCTACTACAGAGACATAGGGGGAGGGCGTTCTGAGGGAGGGCTGCTGGGAGGGAGAAGGCTGAGGCCTGAGGAATAGGCAGGCTCAGGAAGGACAGAATGGAAGGCCCAGCTGGGCTGGATGCCTGGTGTCCTGCAGTCACACATGGGGCTCCTTGAGCCACTTACAGGAACTTGGACAGCTGTAGAGGGATGGAGGCGACTTCACACCGCTGTGCAACCATAGACGACTTGCCTGCCCTCTCTGAGCCTCATCTGGCACCCTGAACTCTCTGCCTCTGCCTCGTGCTCTGGACTCTCTGCTGAGGAGCACTGGGAGGGGCTGCAGCTGGGGATGTCCTGTGTGACCCTGGGTTACTTGTCTCTCCTCTCTGAGCCTCAGGTTCCCCAACTACACAAATGCACCCCACAGCCCTGGGTGCTGTGCCTCAGAAATCCTGAGGGCAGACAGGGCCGATGGAGACCTCACACCCACAGGGTGGGCTCAAGGCCCGGGTCAGGAATGAGAGGCTGGCTTCAGCAAGTCCCTGCTGGCTGTGGCCAGCAGGGTCTGCTGTCCCTGATACCCCCCTGGCCGGCCCTTCTGCCCCACCTCCCACCCCCCAGCCGGCCTCTCGGGCCCCTACCTGTCCTGCAAGAGGATCCCTCCGTCCTAATCCCACAAAGGGACTGTTTGCAGGGGACGTGCCGGGCGGAGAGCAGGCTGTGGGGAGGAGAGAGACCAGAGCCCATTAGCACCAGGGCACCGGGACCAGAAAGGGTATCTGCTGCCTGGGGGGGTCACACAGCCTTCCCTTCTAACCCAGCTGCAGCCCTCACAGTTCTCCCAGGGGTGGATCTGGGCACTCTGAGAGGCCGGGGATCCTGGGGAACCTGGGGATCCCAGCTGGGGTCCCTAGGTCGTAGGGTAGGTGGGGCATCAGCCTTGGGCTGAGGCAAGGAATAAAATATTAATAATCAAAGGCCAGCTGTGAATTATTCAGGGCTAGCAGCGGCCAGGCTGGCGGCATCCCGTGCACGGTGCCATCAATTATTAAGGACATTTTACTTATTGATTCCCTTCATGGAGAGTGTCGGGTGGCGGGGTGTCTGCACAAATCTATTTATCATTTAGCTGGCTTGTGGTATTCATTTCTGAGGCAGCGTCTCTCTCTATAGCCCAGGCTAGACTTGAGCCTGCAATTATCCTCCTGCTTCAGTATTCTGAGTGGTGGGATGAAAGTCCTGTGCCTCCATGCCCTGCTTCTAATATCTGTCTCGGTCCTCAGAGAACAAAAGAACATCACGGAGCCAGAGGGTGGTGGCACCCTCCTTTAACCCCAGCACTCAGGAGACAGAGGCAGGCGGATCTCTGAGTTCCAGGCCAGCCTGGTCTACAGAGTGAGTTCCAGAGCAGCCTCCAAACTCACAGAGAAACCTTGTCTCCAAAAACCAACCTCCTCCCAAAACAGCACAGACCATTCACACCCCGCCAGAAGCAGAAAAGGGAGAATAGCTGGGGAGTGGAGTGCAGGAACGGTAGAGTGGATGGCAATAAAGCCCCAAGGGGAGGAGTCTGTGAAGTTCCTACTATATATCAAACGGAGGTCCCACCTCTGCCACGCCCCCAGCCCCTCACTGGGGATTCTAGGTGGGGCTCCACCCTGACCACGCCCCCAGTCCCTCATTGGTGGATTCTAGGTGGGGCACCACCCTGACCACGCCCCCAGTCCCTCATTGGTGGATTGTAGGCGGGGCTCCACCCCTGACTACACCCCTAGACCCTCAAGGGGGGAAATTCTAGGCAGGGCTCCACCCTGACCACGCCCCCAGCCTCTCATTGGGGATTCTAATGCCTGACTTATAGGTGTGCAAACCCAAGGCACAGAGAGAGAGAGAGAGAGAGAGAGAGAGAGAGAGAGAGAGAGAGAGAGGGGGGGGGGGGGGGAAGGGAGGGAGGGAGGGAAAGGGAGAGAGAGGCATTTGCCTGAGGTCATGCAGGCCACGAGCTGAGTGGAAAGGCGCATTTGCACCACAGCCAGTGTGTACTGATGACTGTGGGTGCTGAGAACCTCAGGTCTTGGAAACTGCAGGTTCCAAGGTAATTGGGGTTTGGGACGTGCTGGGTGGGGGTCACTGGCTCCAGGCAGGGACCCCACAGGGACAGACAGCACTCCCCTGGTACATCTGCTCAGATGCACACCTGGGCCATGCTGGGATCTTGCCACATCACCCAGAGCCCCTCTAGTCAGCGGGCCACACCTTGCACCAGTCTTTCACCTAAACTCTCCCACAGCACCAATCCGAGAGTCCTGAGGCCCATGTGCTTTAGTCACCACACAGCCCAGGGTGGCCTCAGACTTGTAGCAATCCTCCTGCCTCAGCCTCCCAAATGCTCTGAATATCAGACATGTTTTGTGCTTTGCACAAACCAATGGTAATGCCTTTTGGGCTTGGATTTTACCAGCCCATAGGACTGGGGTTTGATGCAAGATCTCCTAGAGCCACTAGGCTGCAGGAGGGGACAGCTGCTGCAGCCCCCCACCAGGCTCCATTGCACCTCGACTGTGGCAGAAGTAGAATGTGCCAACCCCAAGTACGTGTGAGCTGAGGCTGCGCCGGCCACTCACCGGTCCAGGCTGCTGGGTGGCCGGGTCACAGGCCAGGGACACCAGATCCTTGAGCGGGTCCTGGGGGTTGAGATGTGGTGGGTACCGGATGGCTGTGTGGGGAAAGTAGGTGGAGGCCGTCTGAGGAAGAATGGACGTCGCAGGGAAGTGCAGGGCAGAGGATGGGTGGGGACTCCTCGCAATCCCTGTGGACAGACAGAAGTGCAGGGTGGTCACAGTCTGGGGCAAACTTCACAAAGTCCTTCTGCCTCATGTTCTTAAGGGACACCACAGAGGTCCCAGCAGAGCAGAAGGCAGGTGAATGGAGTCCTGCCCCCTAACAGCCTTTCCCAGTTACAGTGGGCAGAGCAAAGCCAGCACAAGCAGAACCACAGGAGGTAGAGGCAAGAGGACTGCTGTGAGTTCAAGGCCAGCCTGGGCTACAGAGTAAGATCCTTAAAACCAAGCATGCAGTTTATAATCACTATTTTCACAAAGTTATGCTATGACAACCAACCCTCCCATCCCACATCCCCATGATTCTACTTCCTGTCTTTGGAGTTCCCCAGTTCTGGATGTTTCCTGTGGCAGGGCCACCCTGTGTGTCTGCATCTCTTACTGAGCACAACGGTCCACAGGCCCCTCACACCGTGAGGTGTCAGAGCCTTGTCCTATCCATGACCGTGTAATACCCCAGTGTCATGGCATTCTCCTCTCTCTGGTCGTTACCCCACATCTTCGCAGGCCCCAGGTGGATGTCATGTATGTGTCTTCCATCACATGGCTTAATCTGGATCACCCATTATGGGGCCAACATGGTGTGCAAACAATTGGAGTCAAATGAAGTGGCTACTTGGGGCCAGGTGCCAATAAAACTTTATACATATGAAGGAGCAGCAGAGAGACCATAGCCAGCTGAACCCTGACCTGGCCAAGTAACAGTGGAGGCTCCCCATAGTTTCACCCCAGGATAGGCCATCTCCACCATACCACACATTTTTGCTTGGCTGGAAGGCTACAGCAATAGAAACAACAGTTGGCAACCTGGCAGAACTTCTGTGGTCATGCTGGTGGCAGTCACACCTCCCTGTCTGGGTGACACTTACCGCTGTGCACTGCAATGACGGGCCTGTGGTGCTGTGTGAAGCTGGAGAGCCGGGGGGAGTCCTGGGGGGATGGGCTGTTGAAGGGAGATTTGTCCATCTCAGTCTTCTTCACCGGGGAGGAGATGCCTGTGAGGAAGGGGACCAGAGTCTCCATCTCTGAGGGGCAGTGAGTGATGTCACCCCTCTCAAAAGCCCAAGGCTCTAAGTGGGAACATGGGGAGGGCGGTCCCTGAGGGGATAAGGAGAGGGAACAGTGGCATAGTACACAGCCAGGAACAGGAGCATCTGACAGGCATCTTCAGGGAAGAATCCCCTCTGTCCTCAGAGACTTTTTTGGTTCCCTGGGGGATCCTGGTGTTGGTACTGACCACAGGGGTTAAGGTGCTTATACCCTGCCCCATTGGTTCAGACTAGTCTCCAACTCATGGCAATCCTCCTGCCCCAGCCACCCAAGTGCTGGGGTACCAGTTACTGTCTGCATCTGCCGTCACCACCATGCGTTTGCTACCCCAGGCAGCAAACATGTTAGGTTGAGGGGGGGGCGAGCAGCCCCCACACTTGTCTCCCTCTGGGGATCACATGGGCTAGTGGGCATGCCATCAGCGTCAAGAATCAGTGTGATTCTAGCACTGAGTGTTCTCGCAGCGCCCCTCGTGGCCACAGCGCCCTGCAGCCTCTACCAGCGTGGAAGGGGGAGCATGCCTGCCTGGGCATGGGTGGTCTCAGTCCCCCCTGCCCCCCCCAACCACGAAGACTTCTTACCCAGGGTCCCCCTGGGCGGCATCTGCCCACCCCCGCTAGACTGTCTAGACTGTCCCCAATTACCGGCTCATTAAGGCCACTAAGCTGATTAGCGCGGCATGTCTATCCCCAGCCACGGCGGGACCTGCCAGCACCAGAAAAAGTCCCAAGAGCCGCGGCCCTACCCGCCTGCCCCGGCCTCAGTTTCCCCGAGCTACACCCTGGTCTGGGGTAACTTGGGAAAGCCAGCACAAACTCTTACCGCCCCCGCCCCTATCAGGGACCAGAGACAACATGCCACTCGCTGAGGTCACACAGCGCACACCAGGGTCGTGCCAATGGTAGAATCAACCCCTTTTCATCTTTTTTCTAGAGAAAGGCCGTCTCGAGCCGGCACCCGACATGCACGCACACAGGACCTCCTGAGCCCTCAAGGGAGAAGAAATCCACAAGGACTCCAGGGAGGCACAGAGAATACTGCGCGGGAAACCGAAAACCAGAGGTTTAACACGTATCCGTACTTGACTACAGGACGTTCGCATACAACTCCCAGGAGGCCCTGCGACTCGGGCTGGCTTATTACACATGGCATTCGCAGTTCCGGCTGGGATAGCTAAGTCTAAGCGATGGGAACATACTGCCGGACTACAACTCCCAGGGGGGACTGCTGCGACCCGAACCAGCTTACTTCTGGCACCACCCCTGCTGGAAAAATCTAGTCTAATTGAAGGGAACATACTGCCGGACTATAACTCCGACAAGGGCCTACAACTTTAGCTCCTGTGCCTGGCGAGCGCGCAAAGCCCGTCGGGATTTGTAGTTCTAACTGCCTCCGCTCCATCACCGCCAGGCCCTACCTCCCTCCATGTCCTCTGTCCAGTTGCGGCTGCTACTCGTGGGCGAGCTGGGCGAGGTATAGTAGTCGCCGCCGGGACTCGTGTCCACGTCCTCCTCCATGGAGCCCGACTTGTGCCGCTTGCTCCTAAACGAACGAGGACAGGGGCGGAGGCATGCAGACCGGTTGCCATGTGAAGACGGGGTGAGGGGGGTGAGGGAGGGGAAGGGTTGGCTAACTTCCGCTTTGTAGGGGGTGTTATCAGGAGACATCACGGGAACCACAGCCAGTCAACTATCCTTTGCCTGGGACCCGCGAGGCAGAGGCGAGGGAACACCAGTATTGTTACCTAAAACCCAAGCTAAGGCCCATGGGGAGACAGGCACACCAGGTGATCAGCTCAATGTCCCATGAATTTCTGGAAGAATCAGTTGAACTTAAGGCTGGCCTTAGTGGCCTACCAGGGCTAGGGGAGAAGGACTGGTAGTTGTTCCTCACCCACGTGTAAAGTAAAAACAGGTATTGCAGAGTGAACAAGGGGTCTGCTGGGGTGGAGAGGTGGGGGGCAGACCCAGATGCGCGACAGTGACCCTGACACCTACCCGCTGGAGGAGGTGCTGGGTAGAGTCCTCCTCATGCCAGCGCTGGCCGGGTTCAGGTCATAGGCCAGGTGGCCCTGCAGCTCTCCCAGGGAGAAGTTGGGTCCAGTTCCGGTCACTACAGGTGCTGGGGAGGGTAGGGACAGATCAGGGGGGAGGAGGATCTGTGCTCCCCACATGACCACCCTCTCCCATGGAGATGGGGGCCCAAGGGTGTCGACACTTACTCCGGGACACCTGGATCAGCTCTGTGACACTGAACACGCCGGATGTGACGAAGCTCTCCTGGAAGTCCGTGGTGTCTGGAATGGGCAGAGGGTCACAGGTCAGCAGGCCAAGACCTGTAGCCAGGGTGCCCACCATGCGGGCTTGTGACATGTCACACATTACACGACATGTTATGCTGTCGTATAGTTTTCCAGGATTCCAACTCGGACCCCCATGATGGTGATAAGCGCTTTACCCACTTAGGCGGTGTAGACACCACCTAAGCCTGCTGCACCCTATGACATGGTGGCGTCCAGCAGGAGTGCCAGGCGGCACGGTGCAGCCACGTGGAGTACTATGCAGCCATGAACTGCACAGCCCACAAGGAGGATAGGTCTGTGGGAGAGGGAGGGCCACTCCTGTGTACTGAGACTTGGTGGGATGGAAGGTTCTGGAACTACACAGTGGACTTAACTGAGGGTAGAGGCTGGACCCAACCACTGCAAGTAAGACTGAGGGCACAGCAGCAGTGGGACCAGCCGCCAGGGGGCAGCACAGTCCACACTCACTGAGCAGTGCCCACGTGGCTCATGGCTGGCCCTGCGGTGTCCAGGGAAATGGCCAGCCCATTTCCTGCTGACCCAGATGGTGGTGGGAGCCCCCGCCACCCTCTCCAGTTTCCTGTTTGTACAGCGGCCACCAGGGTCCATGTCTGGAGGCAGGGGAGTCCCGAGGATTGGGATCCTCCCAGGGCCCCCACCTTCCTCCCACATCTGGCTAGAAGGGAAGAGGCTGGGGAGGACCCAGGGTCATGGACCGGGTCAGGAGCCTGCGCCTCTCCCTTCTCAGAAGCTGCCACTCCAGGCGCTTCTTTGTCTATTCCTGCACAACCTGTGATGGCAACAAAGCCCCTGATGTAAGCAAAGTGATGACCAAGGACACCCTTGCCATGAGGATGTCATGGGGGCTCCACTCTGAATAAGCCCCCAGCCTCACACTGGGGGAGTCTAGTCTTGAGTTCTGCTGACTATTGGGAGATACTCACTACTCAGTAGCTCAGGTTACCCTAGAAGCTATAATCCTCCTGCCTTAGCTCACCGCAGACTCACCCAGCGTGATAGGCTTGCTGTCCTCCTGGTCAGAGCCCACTCCTGTCCGCGGGCTGCTGCTCTGCTCTGCATCTGTGAAGAGAAGAGGATGGCAGCTAGTGACATCACAGGGAACTCTGCTCAGGCACTATCATGGTGTCACGATGGTCCCAGGTGTGACAGATCTGAGGATTCAGATGTAGCTTTTGCAGCCTCTGTGTTGCATGGCCTCTGAGTGTCAGGCTGCCTGCCATGTTACGGATGAGGAAAGAGGAAAGGGTGGCCTTGGGGCTTCCTGAGAGGGGCCTCCTAAATAACATGTCACCCTGGCTCCTCCCTTGCACTGTCCCTCTATTTTATCTAAAAATAATTACCTCCTTGGATGACCTGGGTGGGGCCTCCAGGCACTGAGGTCAGCTGACTATTGAGGTGGAAAAGGAAGGGTTAAGTGGGGTGGGTACAGAGGGTGCCATGTCCCCAACCTCTGCCTCAGTTTCCTTTTGGCAGAGGTGAGTAGCAGGACCAGCCTGGCTGGGAACTTCTCAGCTCTGGGGCTCTTGCATGGGGCGTCAGATACAGGGGAATTCATCCTAAGGACTTGCTGAGGGCCTGGAGGTGAGGGCCTGGAGGTCAGAGTTTATCCCTGTGACTGATGGGTCCATCCACAGCGTCCCTTGTAAAATTTTGGCAATAAAACAATGTGGCAGGCATGCTGGGGAAGTGCTCCACCCTTAAGGGAACCCCCAGCCCCTCACTTAGGATTCTAGGCGGGGCTCCACCCTGAACATGCCCCAGCCCCTCATTGGGGATTCTAGGTGGGGCTCCACCCCGCTCCCAGCCATCACTGAAATTGTAGGTGAGGTCCCACCCTGGCCATGCCTCCAGCCTCTCATTGGAGTTATCTGGGCGGGCTCCACCCCTGACCACGCCCCAGTTTTTAAGCTAGATTAAGAGAGAAGGTGGGGCTGGTTGGCAAGTGTATTTTGTTGTATCAACTGCTGTCCCCCATCTTCCCAGGTCCACCTGACATTGTGTGCAGAGCTAGATGTCACCTCCCCCAAGCTTCCCAGTTGTACAGTGTGGGTGGCATGGCCGCCATGTCCTTCCCCGGCCGGGTGACTTTGTCTTCACCGCAGAAGCAGAGACAGGAGACTCTGACAGTCCAGGTGAGGGGACAGGGAAGTGGTTGGTAGTGATGGACAGGTGGACCTCTGGGGACATGGATGGCAGGAGCTTATGTTGCACAGTTTTGATTCAATTATCTTTTTTCAAGTCTCGGGCCATCAGGCTGGGCCATGGTGAGTAGGTGAATCCTGCATAGGTCTTTAAAAGCCTTAAAAGTGGTGGCTCAGACCCACAATCAAAGCTGTTCCAATCAGGGAGGGACAACGTGCTGTATGGAGTACAAGGCAGCCATGAACAGGAGTGAGGCTGCAATCGGCCTCATTTAAAACTCTCTGGGAGCACAGGACCGGAGTTTCTATCCGGTCATGCTCTGGGCCTTTGCATGAAAGTATCCTCTCTGCTGCTCCCTTTTCCCAGCATGCCATGGGCAGGCTCTGGAATCTTGGAAATCCCCTTCCTCCTCCTACATACATCCGGTTCTGTTCCAACTTGCACTGTCCCCGATTCGCTGCCCACCCCTTGCTGGAGAACGTGTCAGTTCATTCTGCACACATCTGACGCCTGCTGTATACACACAAGCCCATCGGGGGTGGGGGGTTCCCAGTCGCAGATTTCTTCCCAGCAAATCTGCAGGAGTCACAGCACGAAGACCAGAGGCTTGCCTGAAAATGGGCAGGCAGACAGGGACACAAGGGTCTACCCTTAAGTCGCCCAAAGAAGCAGTGCTGTGATATCAGGAAAAGCATTTTGGGACAGACAGCATTTAAAACTCCCGCTAGTCCACTGTTACATAAACAAAAGTAGGGACCAGCCAGATGGAAGCTGCAGACACGAGGGGAGCCCTGGGGACCAGGAGGCAGTGGCTGGGCGGGGTGACCTTCCAGCTCCAACTGGCCTGGGCCAATGCCAACGCATCCTCTGGCCAAGTCCTCCCGGGAGTCCTCCAGACCCCGCTGGCCACGCCATGGCTGCTGCGGCCACTGCCCTGGCTGGTGGTGGAGCCCAGGGACCCTAGGGGACACTCGGACCGGGTCACCTGGTGCATGTGGCCTGGGAGGCACATGTCTGGTGACATCACCAACTGGGCTGCCATTTCCTGGGGCTTCCAGATGCTTCTGTGGCCTGGGCGGCCATTTTGTGGCTGGGGAGGGGCTGGGACAAACCCTCCCCAAGTGGGGTGACCAGGAAAGGGACCCCGGTGCAGGGCACAGTGGCCTCAGCAACCTCGGAGGTTAAACTGTAGGCGCCAAATTGGAACACAGGGCTAGGTGGTAGTGGTGAAGGATGAGATGATGAAGTCAGGTGGGCTTGGTGGGGATGGGACCAGGTGGCCAAGGTCTGTGCCTCACCCCCAGCCTGGCAGTGACACCCTGTGGGCCTGTCACCCGGGTGGCTCCTGGGCTGTGAGATGTGAGGTTAAAAATACCAGACAAAAACTTAGTCCTCTCCAAAGTCAAATGTGTCACCCGCCAGCCAGGAGGAGCTGAAAATAACCCATGTTTACACTCAGCGGATTCCTGGCTTCCCCAGCGCCCCCCCCCCCCCCCCCCCGCAGTCCCAGGAATCCATTTGTGGCCGCAAGGGGGCCAGAGCCAGACCACGGTCCTGAGGACTCAAAGCCAACGGAGGGGCCTCCAGGGTCCCTCCCTGCCTCTCCACAGGGTCACAGGTCAGAAACCTGGACTGGGAGGTGGGAAGACAGGCCCTGTGCTGTGTGGCTCCAGGCCAGCTCCAGCGTCTCTGAACTAGGAACGCATTCCTGTCTGTGTCATGGCTTCCCATGCTGTAGGAGAAATACACGTCACCACTCCTGGCTAAACATGACACCCTGTGCAAGCGTTCGCCCTCCCTCAGTCTTCCCAAGATGCCCTCTTCTCAGAGCTGGGCACACAGTTAGTGCACAATGGCTGTTGCATTGTGCGGGAACACAGAACAGGCACGGTACAAGCTCTCCCAGGACGAGGGAGCCTGAGGAAGACTGGGGGAATCAAAGAACCAATCTAGAGTGACGGGAGGGGAAGGGGTGGGAGGCGAGTTCCTTCTACCCTGGTCTCCAGTGTTAGCCTGAGATGACACAGCAGCTGAGAACTGCATGGATGCCTGGTTTGCTAAGCCACGCCCCTAGCCCCTTACTGGGGAATTATAGGCGGGGCTCCACCCTGACCACGCCCCCAGCCCCTTACAGGGGTGGGATTTGAGGGGGAAGAGGGGGCAGCTCTTCAGCCCACATCAATGTGGATGCACAGAATGGGGGTCACTAGGCCTGGGGTCACACAGCTCAGGCAGGGGTCTATGGTGCAGGCATAGTGTTGGTTGGGGGTCCACACCCAGCGGATTTTGAGTGAATTCTTTGCTGAGGCTGCCTCAGTTTCCCCAGCTGTCAGAGCTGTTGAAACCCCTGTAGCACAGGTTCCCAAGGCCAGTGACCCACTTTGGGCAGAGACCAAACATGGGGGTCCAACCCCTCCCCATGATCCGGCCTGGTGCATCCTGGGTTCGAGTTTGAATCCTTTCCCTCTGGTTTCCTGTCTTGTGAAGCTCCAAGTTGCTACCAACTGTATTCTGCCCACTGTGATGCTCACATACACCCTCCTAATGTGCAAATGGGGAAGCTGAGGCAGGGCAAAGTCCGCTGGGGTTCACCCAGAGCTCACACTCAGTCATCCTCTGCAACAGCCACTAGAAGGCGCTGGTGAGTACCAAGTGGCCCCTCCCCTCTGCTCTCAGCAGGCCCCCCACTTTCCTGGAGCCCCCAATCCCTGCCCCGTCCTGCTCTATGTGCTGTGCTCCTTCCCTCCCTCTGCTCCATCCACAGAGGTCTCCTCCATGCTCTGAGTATACAGCAGGCACATGATGAATGCTGCCGCCATGGCCTAGTGCTCGACCCGTGGATATTTCAGTTTCCCTTCATCCTATCGCTTGAGTGGAACAGATGTGAAGTTGGTGATGGGGGACAGTGGCTCACATGGAAATCAGAGGTCACCCACAGGTGTCTCCTCAGGTGGGGTCCGCCTTGTCCTGTGCTCCCCCAGATTGCAGCCCCAGGGACCCGCCTCTTCCCAAGCGTGGCCTTTAGCCAGGATTTGAATTTGCACAGCCATCCCCCACCCGCAGTTCTCCCTCATGGACTGACCGTGCCTGGCACACAGTAGGTGCTTCTTAGGGCTGGCTTGGCCTGAGTCTCCCTGCCTCTCCATTGGCAGCCTGGCGAGGCCATTGCAGACTGACAGATGGGGAAACTGAGGCTGGGAGGGATGTCTGACAGCGTCAGTGTGGAGAAGGGTTGGGGGTGGGCAGCCCGGGATGCGGTCCCTTTAAGCCCCTCCCCCAAGGGCTGCCTCCTTATGTAATTGGGCCCTTGTCCTTGCATAACCCAATTACATAAGGAAGCCAGGAACGGGCGGCTCCATCCGGCAGGGACCAGTCCAGTCTGCACAGTAGACTGGCAGCTGCCGCAGGGGGTACAGCCACCCCTCCCAGCTGGGGATCCCCCAATTCCAAGCAACACCCGCAGCAGCCAGGAAAGGCTTTCACAGAATCAGAACTGGTCATGCTCCCATTACTCAGAACTGAGTACTGAGTCCTCTGTCTGGAAACTGAGTCCCAGAGAGAGTATGCACGCAGCCCAAGGCTGCACAGCGCTGACCTGATGGGCCACCCCTGGGAGGCCTCCTCAGGGAACGATGTTCCCCTTAGATCCTCCTCCTGTGCCCTCTGCCACACCTCTCTCAGCAGAGCCTGGTATGCAGTAGGCACTCAATAAAAGCAACTCTTGTGATCACAACTGGTGACCTTTTAGGTCTCCACTGTACATTCCAACGACGGGCTATTTCAATGTTCCATCTAGTTCTCTGTGAAGAAAGGACAAGGCTGCCTCCTACAGGGGAAACTGAGGCACAGCGGAAGTGAAGCAGCGAGCCTGAAGCACAGTGCATGCCAAAGCAACAGGTGGACTGTTACTGCACTGA